CAGTTGATCGGATCACGTGTTAACTTCCATCTCTTAACTGGGATATCCACTATCCATCAACCAGTGCTCTCAATCAGTCTCTGCATCATTTGGCATCTGGAAAACCTGCATCCGCCATCATTTTTGTGTGTTGCTAATAGAGTTTTTATGGCGCTAATAGGAGCTGATAATCATTGTGGAATAAGATGTTCACTGTGTGCGCAGGCGACAAAAGATATAGGCATTTCTTCTTTCACTTTTCTCACTCATCCTCTAAATGACTGTTAGCACCGTACCGCTTTATTTCGGCCGAGGTGCAGAGAATTGATAAATTGTATGGCTTTGCGTTCCCGAGGGAAGATGAACTGATAGGCGTGCATGCACAATCCCATGGTCAAGTCAAGCTCTGTACTCCTTAAAGAATGTTAGTGATAAAATGAAGCTCACTACCGGCAGCTGATTCTCACATGTTCACACTGAACCCACAGCTGGTTTGAAGTTGCTGATCTCCAGTATACATAGTGTGACCAAGCAAACGGTGTTCATCATATAACTATAAAATTAGCTCTCCGTTATCTGTGCGATGGGCATTAAATTCGAATCTGTTACAAAGTCGAGCTTCACACTGACTTAGCCCAACCGAGCGTTCATACTGTGACGAGAAGAGTGACTCCCAGATCAGAAGTTCAATGTGACCAGTCAAACAAGCTATCAGCAAATACGCTCATAGGCAAAATCCCCACTTACGTAGTAGCTACTGTTGACAATTTCTATATTTAGAGCCTATCGTTGTCATTGACAGAAACAGCAGAAGAGAAAACGGGTGATTCACTACCCTCTAACCAGGTCAATTCACGTGAATAAAGCCGTATGATGGATAGAAGAAAAATTTGGCACAGACGAAGACCTAGGGCTAGCATGTTACAAACAGCCGAAGTACCTACATCCCCAACACTCTGTCAGACAGTCTGGATAAAGACTGACGACACGAATGCCACTCAGGTGTGTTAGCAGCCATATAGTTCGGTGTCCTCTGCAAAACACAAAGGTCAACTGGACCACATTCTGGAAGACAAATAGCATCAAAGACAAACTATTCTCAGTGTCCTCTATTCTTTTCTGCCATGTTAAAGATTCTGCCAATCCGAACTACACTTAGAAAACAGCGTTGGCTTCGATAGGTGGTAACTGGGCCTGCGTAACACATGGCCCAGCCAACTTAGCTTGTAGTGTGCACTTGTGGGTGAAGCATCGTCTGCTTCGTTGAAGACCTGATTCCTAAATCACTGGTTCCCGCCCATTTCAGCTACAGCCATGAAGAACCTGAAGGTTTCGCATATCTTCCAGCCGTATTGGCCAAATTTCGCAGCCGTAAAACAATGCAACTCGCACTATAGTGTGGTCCCGACCTAACGCTGCAACCTTGATGTGGTGGTCGGGCTTCAGTGGTGCAATCATCCCGTGGACTACATTCACTGTAACTTCGTTCCACAAGGTGTAACAAGAAGGCCAAACGGGAGCAGTCAGATCAAGAGCAGCAAGACTCCGTACTAAGACTAATCGTAATGCGAGGCAGTCTGGGGGTAAAGTCATACTGTCCTCTGCGAAAGGAGTGTGAAAGTAGTAAGGTGTTTCCCCCCAGATCG